ATTTATGTCATCAGCTGCAGAAAAAATTATATTTATATCAGCGTTCCTGTGAGTTGTGACGATGTTAACTCCATCAACCAATGAGGAGTGTCAAGTGTGGAATTTTTACTGGTTGATAAAATTTAGAAATTGCAGTAATCTGCCAAGCTGAGTTTATTAAATTACTGTACAAGCGCAAGGGGTATCAGATTACCAAAGGAACGCAAAGGTCACTGCTTACTCTTGTTCCTCAATTTTTATGATCTAAGGATCCGATAATGATCCATGGACGGTTCGCCCACAAATGGGCCCACGAACCACGCAATCACTCCATGCAAACGAACGATCATAAATGTTCAGTACAGTTCATAGTTGTCAAAGGGTCGTTCACATATTATGACGTAATCACTTGTTGGCCAATTTCATTTCGCTTTATACATAGTGAAATAATGTTATCCAGTATTCAGATAATTGAAATTATTCCAGGATTTATAGATGTGGATATTGGTGAGCCATATTTTTGCTGACTACCTTATCGGACCTTATTTGGACGGACATTAACGCTGGAGGCCCTAACGTTCATCTTAATGTCCGTTCAAATAAAGTCCGTTCATTTAAGGTCCGTCCAAGTTAAAGTCCGTTGAATTTTTTTCAAAACTTTTTCCAATTCGTACTTTTTGTCCAGAATATGACAACTATGAGAACTTTATTGTGCCGCGTAAGTTAACGACGGAAAGGTTCTCCTTGGTCTGCCGGAGGCACAGAAAACTCTACTAGTATATGATGTAAGATGTTTTCAAGGGTCACTTGCATGGCGGAAAAAGTCGACAAAATTATGGCACTCAACAACATAGTTCATAAGCTAGTCCCCGCCAACATGACAAACTTGTTCCAGCCTCTAGATATTACGCCTACGGTAAATCGTGTTGCCAAGGACATTGTCCGACGTTGTTATAGTTCATATTACTCAGGGGAGGTAATGAAACAGTGCTAGGAAAGCTCCACGTGATGTTAAGGTTAACTAAATTTGTCTAAGTTAAAACCACTTCACGCCAAATGGCTTGTAAAGTTAACACTGAAATGCAGGACCATAATTATGTCCGTTCATTTAATGTCCGTCCAAATAAGGTCCGATAAGGTAGTCATTCAGGACCGGCTAGAGAACGGGTTTAAAAAGTCAGTGTCACGTGACAGTCGAGTTTAGAGTGATTAATCATCATCCCATAAAACACCCTGCTGTACAGCTGCCCTAATGGAAATTCTTTGCTGAACTGGAGAATGAATAAAGGAATAAGGCAGCAGTGCAGCGATGCAATTGGATAAAAGTTCAAAATGTTATACATAATTATAATAATTGAACTTTGAAGTTCGAGCGAAAATAGCAAGTTTAAAAAGTGACGTTCAGCAAAATTTGATGAACTAAGAAAATTGAAAATTGAAAATAAGACATAGATCCGGAAATGAGCTGGCGTTGGGATCGAATGATAAATTAGCTTAGCCGACTGAATGATTCAATGAAACAAGAAATATTTTAAGACTGTATAATTGGTGTGGAACAGCCCTTAAACATTCTGCAATTTATGGAGGATTTCTGGAAATGATCTTACTTTACCTCACGTTTGCACCCCGAGTCGACACTATAAGTGGACTGACAATGGTTATAAGAGTAAAATAATAGACTTTCTAATTGTGGTACGAGAGAGCATCAACTTAATAACACCAGAATGTGTGTGTGTCTGTGTGTCTGTGTGTCTGTGTGTAATTTCCGAACAGTTATACAAAAAAAACGGTAATAGTTACGGGACTGGTTTTTTCGGTATAGTGCCGACAAAACTCTGATGAAGCCCATAAGAAAATTTTATAAAAATCGGCCGGTGGTAAGTGGTTTAATTGATGATTTTGTTCCAGAAATGTGACATAAATGGATGGGAGAGAGAACGAGGAGGAAACATGTACCGTAATTAGTTTAGCCCCACGTAATATCAGAGCTCACTCTTGCGGCCGCTTTGTTTTAACTGTAGGGAGATTTCATACTTTCATAAGACAGCATTATGCGTGATATCAAATATATAATGCGGTTGTATACTTTTACATTGCAACTGTGACAGTAAATTCCCGGCCGAAGGCACGGGTTACACTAGTATAATTATAAAGCCTCGAGGTCCCCAGCGTAAAATTCTTGGGGAGATATAATTAAATTTCTCAATCGTGATGTGGTAGTTGGTACCCTGATAATGACTTGTAAGTTATACTTTTACTTATACGGATACCCATGTCTATACTAGTGACCCTACGCGTTTCCAAGAAAGCTTGATTACTTGATTCAATTTTATTCAATTTCCCGTAAAATAATTCCTCCTGTCCTAACCCTACTAGTACTAGATATATAATACCTCGCAATGTTCATATGTAATAGCAGATAATTCAGGGGTGTAGGAATGATTTTCTGTGCGCCACAGTCAGAATTTCAAAGGTTTTATAAATTTCAATACCATAGTAGTAGTACCGTACAGTTAAAGTTTGTCGAAGGCAAACATTTTTGAGCATTTTACTCGTGCAAAACGCCTGGAAGCAATTTGGCAATAGAGACATTTTTGAACTATGCTTACACTGTACACCATTAAAATAATCTCTAAAAAAAATATAACTCTACTAGTATATATATTTTTTTATTAGTATAGTATCATGAGTAGTACAGTATTTAGTTGTATTAGCTTACATTTCTTCTTGTCGTATTTTTTGTTGTTTTGAATTTTTTCAATTACATTTTTGGGTCATATTTCGTAAATTTTATTTCTCTGTTTTTGTTTTAATGTTATTTTAAATTTCTTTCCGTCGTTAATTTTACACATGTTTAACAATTTTATTACAGAACTGAAGAAGACGTAGTTACGTGGAATGATTATTTCTAGTCAATAAAGTTTCTAGCTTAAAGTCTGCTGCTTCAATTTGTTCGCAAGTTAAGAGTGTAAAAAGAAATTCTCCAAGAGAAATCAAGTTCAAATGCGACTCATAAATATAGCCCCCTTGAACTATTCATCTACTAGTATATGATGTTTTCAAGAGTCACTTGGCGGAAAAAGTCAACGAAATTATGGCACTCAACAACATAGTTCATAAGCTAGTCCCCGCCAACATGACAACATGTTCCAGCCTCTAGATCAAGGTTGTTAAATACGTATTTGGAGGGAATACGTATTGGAATACGAATACGTATTAATCCTCGAAAATTGACGTATTACGACGTATTCTTTATTCAAAAAATTCAAAAATTCAAATATGTTGAGGGGACTGAACTTTAGAAAATGGTCTTAAACTTTGATAATTGCGAGATCGTTTTAGGAGCAGCCTCTAATCCCTAATTAGTAATTACTGACGGCTAACAAACTGAAAAATTAATTCCCAGACCGGAGTAGTGGACTGTGAAGCTGACTGATCTTGACGAACTTCTCGCTCTCTGAACATCAAAATCATTAAATATGTATTAATATGTAATTGATAATTTCGCAAAAAATGTTAGCTTATCGGATTATCCATGAAATTTGATTACAAATTTAAGTTATCATGTATAACTGCACTCCTTTAATGCATGATCAATGATGAGGGTGGCGCGCAGCTGTAATGTTTAATTTTGACAAATCAGCGTATTACGGCGTATTATGGCGTATTCTTGGACGTATTTAACAATCCATAGAAATTACCGTATTCCGGCGTATTACGACGTATTCTTTATTAGAACCGAATACGTCGTAATCTTTCACGAAAATTTGACGTATTTAACAACCTTGCTCTAGATATTACGGTAAATCGTGTTGCCAAGGACATTGTCCGACGTTGTTATAGATCATATAACTCAGGGAAGGTAATGAAACATTGCTAGGAAAGCTCCACTTGATGTTAAGGTTAACCTAAAGTTGTCTAAGAGTAAGATAAAACCATTTCACACCGAATGGCTTGTAAAAGTTAACACTGAAATGCAGGACCGGGGTAGTTTGATAAAAAAGGTTTCCATAAAGCTAGAAATCACTGATGCTTTAAGCATGGATTATTTCATGCACGAAACTCAATTGATGAAGATGATATGTGATATTAGACACTGATAATGTACATATATTTTAACATTTTTTACTGCTTAACGACTGCTTTTCTTATTTACTGTATAAAAATGGATTTAAAAATCATTTGCTGAAATTATAAAAAAAAGAAAGTCGGATTTTTGATGGTTTTAAATGCCTTCAAGCGTTCATATTAATGTCTGTTCATAATTATGTCCGTTCATTTAATGTCCGTCCAAATAAGGTCCGATAAGGTAGATTTACCGACCAGAAGGTTTGAATCAGAATCACTGCCACGTGTCCAAATAAATATGGTTCACCCTTCCGGCCACCAGTATCTTTGCTCTAATATAAGAATATAATTACTTATTACCGCTACAGCTAGAAGTTATCATTCTGCCAAGGCTGTATTGATACTTGTATAGTTTTTGCATCACTATTCCGTGTAACTCAGTCCAACTGTAAGCTGCTGCATTTTTACACCTCAACATTAAATAGCGCCATCATTATAATGCAGTGTAGTAAAGTTGTGACTTCATGCTAATTAGCCTTAATGCCAATTGTGTAAACGATCAATTACAAGTTACGTATAAACTTTGCTCTACAAAATTCGTACACTTGACCACTACATTTGTTTGCGTCGTTACACTGCTGAGTGAGTTTTCTAGTTCGCCTCCTGCTGCTTACCTTTAATGCTTACTTCTAATTCATTAGCTAAACTCTTCTTAAATCTTCTTAAGCACCCTATAGTCATTAACACTATATGTCCGCAATTAGTTACGGTTGTGACGTGTGCTGTTGTACAATGAGTGTATTGATTCCTTTGATGTGTTGACATTTAGCAATCTTCTTACATTACAGTTGTTATAAAATAAAATGATCAAGGAAAACCTCTAAAACAAATTGAATGTTAGCAAAGCGTCATTAGGTAACTTTTGTAGGTAAGGTGAGAGAATGGAAGTGAGATCTAAACGAGACAGGGGCTTTATTGACACGAAGAAAGAAATGTTGTGGATAGAATGGCAGACACTGACTAGGCATTACACTGACGATCAGCTCATGATAGGAGAGTGGTTTTACGATATATACCAGAAATACTCCGAGCCTATCAGGTTTTACTTTCTATCTTTGAATAAATCCAAGTTGCAAATGTATTGAGGACGACGTTAGGTATATATAAACGTATTGTTGTCTTGATACATACAGAGTACAGACCTCTCGAAATGTCTTGCAGAGGTCCACAAATTAAATTGTATTATGATGTAAGAAATGTAAAATCTTAATAGACCGCTTAAAATAGATTAAAAAAGATTCTTCACTTAAATCGGAATAGGTTTAACTTTAACTGCAAATGTAATAATAAACTTAGAAGTCGTATTTACAAAAATAGTGCCATTCATATAAGCAAATATCAGATACCAAATATTCAAGATGTGCGTTAATACAATTACACTGTAATTAAGTTGGACTCTTGTGAATAATTCACAATATACTCATCAAGATGAGTATTTCACAACTTCCATATAAACCGCAATCTTAAAATTTCCGGTTTGATTTTAAAATTATGTTTTATACGTGCCCAGTTCATTCTCGCCTTATTTTGTTAACAAGTTTGTAAAAACCTTAACAAGGTTTTAAAATACCGTTTTATAGCACGATAAAATATTTAATCATATTCTGCTACAAGTAAAACTAGCTGCTGAAGCCTCCAACACAACCTTATTCAGGAAGTACCACAACACTGAACATATCTACCAGATGATTCTGAACTTTAAGCACTTCTACCAGGAGTTGACCTTTCCCAGAACAGTTCTCTTCGCTATCTTCTTTCACGACTACATATATGATCCTAAGGTGACCGCTATTTCAGTATAGTCGCATGCACAGTCGAAGTGCCAATTTATAAAAACATATAAATTCAAAGTGTTAGAACAAACTTAAATAATATTCCGGAGTAACTACTAACTTACCACTGAGATTTAAACGAATTCAATATCATATGGTATAAAGTTTAGATAAAACTTTAAACAAAGCACATATATTAGTCTTTACAGTTTCACTCACAAGTCACAACCTACCACGATATAATCTAACACGATCTTAAATTGTCAGAGCAACAATAACGAAGAAGAGAGTGTCCAAGCATTTGAGAGCTGTGCTAGAGACTTAGAGCTTGATGCGGACGTGGTGAAGGGTGTGAAACATATGATCAATCTCACATCATCTGGTCATTATACTAAGGTAAACCTCATGTCAGTGTCAGTATTATAACACTATAACAGGTATATAGGGCTGCATTGAGGGGGGGGGGGGGGAGGGGAGGGGGGGGGGGGGAGGTTGTTTTAACTATTTTATGTCAGTTGTCAAACCTTCCCCCAGTCATACTGTCATAGTGAAATACATTTGAAGGGAAGAAAATTTTAATCTCGAAAAGGTTCCGGATCAAAAGATGGGTATGTTTTGTGTTTGCTAGATTTACACATAACTGAATTAGTATTTGTTGCCAACGATTATGAGTAAGTCCTAGATGAGTAGTTTTTCAAAATACTAATTACGGTAAAATCCCAGTTTACTGTACACTCTGATGTACCGTTCTACTTTCCCTCCCCCCAACTGTACGTTAAATCAGGGTTTCATGCTGTATAACTACAGGAGCTGGAAGAAGACAAACCCAAGACACGTGACGTTCACTACTTTCTGGATTTTGATCTGTCTATCTTGGGCAGCAATCCTGTGGAGTACACGCTCTACGCCAAAAAGATACGAAAGGAATATAGCCATGTGGGAGAGGAGGAATTCTGCACAAGGCGAGCTCAGGTAATTTCAATAAACAGCATTCAGTATACTCATTAAAAAATTAACATATTTTGAAATAAGCATAGCCAATTGAATAAGCAGTGATAATTTTTCAAGCAATTAATGGCCCGTCCAATATCAGTCCTTAGAAGGGGGAACTAACTAACTCTAGCAAATGTAATCACATGAACCCCCAAATTTGAAACCACCGTTGAAAGATCCCTTATATTGGCAACAGACCCTCTCCTTTAACATTTTGTTTCCCTCCAGGTGATGGAGAAGTTTTTAGAACGAAAGTACGTGTTCTGTACGAGAGAGTTCCGTCAGTTTGCGGAGGAGAACGCCCGGAAGAACGTGCAGGGCGAGGTTGTTATCCTGAGAGGACGCGCCGAACATCTCAGAACGTGCAAAGAAAAAGGGCACACGTGCGGTATTAAAGATGGGGAAATAGAAGGTGGCACTGACGTAGAAGAATGTACGGACCTTTGCTCCCAAGATTGATTTATGGTTACTGAACAGCTAAAATGCAATTGCCTGACGGATGATTTATGATAGAATTTGATGCACAATTACTGAATAACACAAAGATAACATTTTTAAGTGCGACAACGTGTCATGCCATGAGATACAGGGAAAGCTTTATTGAAAGCAATAAATTACGTAAATTGTGTCACAAAGAAGCATGTGTCATGTCGCTGGATAATAATAAATTTGAGCACTACCGTCAAGATAGTGACAGAGCTAATGCATCATAAAATTAAAAGTTATAATTGTAACCAAGATGAACCCCTCTTTTGATCAAATCCCCCTTTATCTGATGACTGAACATTTGCTTCACTTTGTCCAGGTGGTTGAGGGGGACTGGGTCGATTTTATCGAACAAAGAAGTTGAGAAGCTACTTTGACATTTATATTGCTACATTTTGAAGATTATTATAAAATAATTTTGATGTATTAGAGGTTTAAAGTTCTGTATAACAAAAGATCTTATTCGTAACATTCAATGTTTAGTTGAAAATCTCTGAAATGGAAAATGAATTGCTACTTATATAAGCTTATAAGGTAGTGTCTACAGATTAGTAAGAGGTAGCAGCAAAACACAGTGGACGCAGAAAATATAATATAATATTCAATCATTCAATCAAGGAATAATTATCGATAGGCATATCCACAAGCGCAGCATTTTATTATATCGTTATAATGATTGTGGATGAGTTTTAAAGATTACTATATTTTGTGGGAACCCCACTGCAACTAATTATGTTTGTGGACCCAAAATCTTCAACCTTTTAATCGAATTGAACTCCTAGGAAGTTCAATTTGTATTTGGTTTTGAATACTAAATACCTACATCACAAAAGTGAAAAGGAAACGTCCTTTCTGTTCTTACACTGGGCCACCTACATGTTGTAATTTGCTGGGCTCTTATTATTTCGCTCCTCCACAAATTATCACGTGACTTGGGTTTTTTGCCCGTAGCTCCTCAGGGAAGAATTTTTACCCTACGTCATGGGGGTGATTCGGAATCAGCGTCTGAAAATACACCGATTGAAATAATTTTCATACCTTCATTTAATTGCCTTTTCACAAGTTTAAAAACATTTGGGCGAGCGATTTAGTGGGAGGAGATTTGCTGTCTAGTACTGATACATATCACGCCATCACAGGTAACTGGTAATATCATAGGTAGGTATTCAGGATCAGTTTATTCATTTTTGTTGTGCTCATGCTGCTGACACCTGAAAATTGAGTTGTTCTGTTTAACTTTTTCTTCTACCTTAAGGTCACAAAATCTTGGGGGACTTGTGCCCCACGTCCTTCTGGGAATTACGGCCCTGATTCATATCATAAACCTCAGCTGATTACATTTTGAAGGTCGTGGATGAATGGGGAAAAGAGATCGACTGATTATATTCCAAATGTGTTTCCTTTGTTTAGCCTGTGTTACAACGGGTCTTATCTTTTTATAAGATAAGAAAATCGCAACATGATAAGAAACATTTTTTCTCTTTTGTTCTTTTCTGCTTTTTTTGAATAATATTATCAATAACAATAATGAATAACAAAAAATCACCATACCATTCACAGCTTACCGTACAATAAATGATGTTAATTAATACCCCAATAGGTAGGTATAATGAACAGTGTTTATAATGTCTCCTTCTTTTAAACAAAAACTAAAAGAAATGATACCAGATTCCAATTAACCAATATTATATTTACCAAAACCCAAATATCGGGTAGAGTACGTGAACCGTATGTGTATGCAAGTTAGTCCCTCCCCCCTTCCACCTGATAAATTTAATTAAATCATATGACCGTTACCATGAAATACTAATAGCACAGATATGATAAAGAAAATGAAATCAGTCTCTCTTCTAATCAGTCTCAGCTCTTCTAATCAGTCGACGTCACTCTTCTAATCTTCCAGTTCCATGATTGGCATCATAAACTTCATAAAGAGATCGAGTCACCGATTATATTCCTTGTTTAGCAACTGTGTTACAACGGGTCATTTTCTTTGTAATTGTATATAGGAACATCGCAACACGTGCTAATGTGCCAATGACAAAGTGAAACATTGGAAAAAAATCTCGGCACAATCAACGATTGTGCAGCAGTACCGTTCACAGTACCTTTCACAGTACCGTTTACTGTACCGTTCACAGTACCGTTCATAGTACTGTTCACAGTACCGTTCACAGTACTGTTCACAGTACCGTTCACAGTACCGTTTCTAGTACCGTTCACAGTACCGTTCACAGTACCGTTCACAGTACTGTTCACAGTACCGTTCACAGTACCGTTCACAGTACCGTTCACAGTACCGTTCACAGTACCGTTCACAGTACCGTTCACAGTACCGTTCACAGTACCGTTCACAGTACCGTTCACAGTACCGTTCACAGTACCGTTCACAGTACCGTTCACAGTACCGTTCACAGTACCGTTCACAGTACCGTTCACAGTACCGTTCACAGCACCGTTCACAGTACCGTTCACAGTACCGTTCACAGTACCGTTCACAGTACCGTTCACAGTACCGTTTACAGTACCGTTCACAGTACCGTTTACAGTACCGTTCACAGTACCGTTCACAGTACCGTTTACAGTACCGTTCACAGTACCGTTCACAGTACCGTTCACAGTACCGTTCACAGTGTCGTTCACAGTACCGTTCACAGTACCGTTCACAGTACCGTTCTCAGTACCGTTCACAGTACCGTCGCAGAGTTCCGGGAGAAGGAAAAGTAGTTACAATCTCCCTTTCTGTTTGGGTGTGGGCACAGTTAGGCTTCAGGTACAAGTCCTGCTTAACGACACACCACTCTTCATCGCGTTGGAAGCTCTCTGAACTTCGTAACTCGTAATTTAAGGCTTTTTCTTCATGGCTCAAATTCTGGTCGAGCCACTCCTTGTACAGTTGTACCTCCAGATCGTTCTGTAGATGTTATAGCGCTATGGATAATTGTCTTTAGATTAATTCCAAGGTTCATCACAATAACTATCATTATAACTTTATAACTGCTTAAAATTGTTTGATAAAATTGGTTGGCAAGATGGAAATTGGAATCGATTGTTCAGTATCGTTTTAAAATTTCTGACTCATATGCTCACCCAAGGACAAAAGAAAATCGCGATTATTTAGGCCAAACATCGCGGCGAATTCGCAGAAATTTCCACGGTTCTTCAAGTGAACAAGTTGGTCTTAGGCACGTGGTTCTGGAACAAGTAGTCCTATGGCATAATATTATCATTATGGTTATCGGACAGAATGAGGTTTAAATCTTTAATTCTATCGAGTAGTGGAAAAATTTTGCAGCTCGGTGGCATTTCATGTGGACGACTTAAAGGTGGCGGCATGTTTAAATCCACATTCAAGCAAATTGTGTGTAGAATCTATTGACTACCTACATTACAATTCAATCTGATGAGGGATTGCAATCCAGCTCGACAAGTCATACGCCAAGACTCACCAGCTCAACTAGCCCCAAGCAACCCGCCCATCGAATTGATAAACCTTGGATAATGATCCCTATAAGTATAAATCTGTAAGTTATTATTTATTTTATTTAAGGTGTTTTAGACCATTAGATTTCAAACCATTGTCCACATTCAGGTACATTATAATATGTATAACTACAAGCTAAAGTGACTACATTTCAATCTGTTGAGGGATTATCGGTGTTTGTTGTCTTAATGTTGTCTTATTGTTGTCTTATTGTTGTCTTATTGTTGTATTGTTGTTGTCTTAATGTTGTCTTATTGTTGTCTTATTGTTGTCTTAATGTTGTCTTAATGTCCCATCGGTGTTCGTTCAAGTCTCCTAGTCTGAATATGTGGCCGTAGGTTGATCGACAGGTATGTTTCGCAACCGAAGATTGTCTTGATGAAGTTGTAGAATCCCAATTTTCTTTTGAGTTTTCGCTCTTTGTTCCATTGTTGAACAAAAAGGGTTTTCATAGCCTCGCTGATTTTGAGAGGGTTCAAAAGATCGCTTCCTCCTGATCATTATATGATCCTAACATGTTTTTTTCGGTTTTCTGAAGTCCGTACCTAGTATAGTAGTACCTACCTCTCGATATACGATTTTGGAAGTTTTTCCTGAAACTACTTTTGTTCATGGTTCCATATACTTATAGTTATAACTTTATAAAGAACGTGATATTTGGCCTTCGGATTTAAAGGAAAATGCACAAATTTGGTCCTCAGATTTAAAGAAAAATGCACAATTTGTCGCGGAGAATTGAAAAAAATCGCGATTCCGCACGTGCCGCGATTTCCTTTTGACCTTGTGCTCACCTGGTCGAGGTACTGGTTGATGCATCCTGAACTTATACCTTATCGGACTTTATTTGAACGGTCATTAATTGGAAGCTTGAGGCCCTAGCATTCATTTTAATGCCCGTTAAATATAAAGTCCGATAAGGTAGTTCAATTAAATACATTAAATTTAAATTAAATGAATGCATTCGGGTGTCCATTTTAATGTCCGTTCAAAATTATGTCCGTTCACGCAATATCCGGTTAAATAACGTCCGACATGAAGGTAACTTTTTGGGTAGATACATCATCAAACACTCTAAGCAGACGGGTAAATGAACGTTCGAAGATAACCATGCCAAGGATTAAGCAGCAACTTTGGTGTTGGTTAGGGTAAAGGATGTCGGAGTGTCTGGTATAGGATTCGAATCAGGCTAACTGGAACATTAGGGTAGTATCAAGTAAGGATGAGAATCTATAGAGTATGGAAAGGATTGATGGCAAGAATACAATATGCAAATCTGTGTTGCGGGAAGAGGATCATCGAAATTTGTGTTCATATGAACTTATCAATCGAGGGTGATGATGTGACGGGCGGGGGTGATAGAAGGTATGGTCTAAATTTCGCTTCGAGTTACTCCTTTTTATCAGTTCCCAGCTTGTCGCGTGATCCTCGTCGTTTCTTGTCCTGCTTGACCCTTTCTCCGAAATCCCGATGGACATAATTTATCGTTCAGGAGATAAGCTACTATCACCAGTTCCACTGTAATATTTGTATAGTCATTTTGTATCAAGTTGGTTGTAAATGCTT